GCAGTATGTGATGGATCCGCCTTCAAAGATCCAGCAGCAGCCTTGCCAAAATTATGTGGTACCGAGTTAACCCAAGCTGGGACTGACATATTGTTAATGACATCTCAAATATGTTGCATGACCTCAGGTTTACACATTTGTGGAGGCTGTGGTTTGTTCAACTTTAGCGGCATTTGTTTACGCTTGAGATACAAGTTAGTTGTGTTACGCATGAAGTGCTTAACAAAGTCTGAGGGTTCGTCGAGGTTTATAAAGAGACTTATCCGAAGACAAGTTTGAGAACATAGTTCTGAGTGGAGGTCTTCCAACGGGAGTTGGTCTTCTTCTGAGTAGAAGTCTGATCTTAGGAGTCTAGCTTTGTAAGCGTAAACTGCGTAGAATCGTATTAGAGAATACTACTGCTGTTACATGGTATTTATAATGGAAAGGAATCGGTGATAGGAGTTAGGTCCTATCTAGGGCAGGTCCGTCCATTGAGGACTAAGTACTATAATAGGTACTGTAAATGCGAGAGGAACGGAAGTATACGTGAAGGAAATGAAACATTGGTCCAATGGTATAACTGATGAGTAAAAGGAAATGAGTAGTCCTTAAATGTCCAATAGAAATTGTAACAAGTTGACAATATGCAATTTATGTAAAAGGCTTACCCATGTTACAAGGCTCCTTGCCCAGTCAATCTTTCTTGGATTGTTCCTCTCTGTGCATGGTACTTGACAGAGATCCTTTCCTAAGAGAACTAAGGCATTCAGATTTTTTGTCATTAGACAACTCTGCAAAACGCTGAACTCCACTTCCAATTCAGCAGGTGTCTGTCCAATTATGGGCCTTGTGAGAAGGTTGTGTATGTCTTTCACTTGCTTGACTTCTTTGACACTCAGGGATCCAGGAGAGTCGGTGCTGGGCTGTGCAAAATTGTGCTTAAATGCTGTGATAAATTTTGGTGTGGACTGTTACAATTGACATACCAGCACCTACTTACACTTCATTTTTTGTACTTTTACCTTTCATTTTCCAAGTCACATGACTGATCATGTGACCATTTACTTTACTTTACATTTCAGATTTCTCATAGTCACATGACCAATCATGTGACACATCACCTGACGAGTGTCTAGACTCATCATGTGACCAGTCACATGCTAGACATCGGACTTTGAACTTTATTTACAACTGTACAGTACCTCATGTATTTTAGTATATATAGTGGTGTAATATATGGGGAGGGACTCAGCGATTCCTCTTCTAGTGTCTACAAACATTAGTATGACAAGTTCCCTCTCTTAATGAGTTGTACACTTCCTTATCCTCCATTGAGTGTTGTTGTTGTGCTCCAGTGCCCCAAGACTGTGTTTTGTTGGTGTTGTCACATGGACTTTGCAGAGGCACTGGTGAGACAAAGCACATCACAGACATGGAGTTGGGCTAGGCCTTTGAAGAGACAATGCATTAGATCGGCAACAAGTTGACGGGCAGGGTTCCAATACAATAGTCTCCAAAAGTCAGACCACCGTATCCCATATTGCTTCTGTTACGCTTGGAATGTGCAAGTCTGGTAACACTGGGTTTCTGATGGATAGATGGTTTCTGATAAGCTCATCGTAGACGAGTTTGAGACATATTCTGATGATGAGGGTTTCAGCTGATGAATACCAAGTTACACTGTTGAAGCGTACAATTGTATTGGAGATAGTAACTACAATACAGGCTTATATATATAGTGTCTACTTTAGGGTAGGTGTTTGTGTTGAACAAACAAGGACGGGTGGTACCGTAACAGGCAGTGTGTGTGGGAAAGTATAGGTAAGTAGCAGAGCGTAGCTACTTGTGAAGAGAAATAAAGTCTATGGTGAATACAGTTCGTAACATTACCCCCTTTTTAGGTTTAGACTGCTCCAAAGTCTCCTAGTTCTCCGTCTACATTGTATCATGAGTCTTTGTCAAGATTGTTGTGCTTGTCATCCAATCCCCAAGAGTCTGCCACAAAAGGTAAATTGTGTTGTCGGTTGCACTCATTAGCTCGGTGTATGTGCGCATCTAAACCACACGTAGAGCAGGTATGGTATCAGCAGTAGATGGCACGATGGCCATATTCTTGACAGGCATAGCAATGTTGGGGACGAGGGCGACAGCGTCATTCAGAAGAGGATTGCAAATGATGAAGATTAGAGTGATCAGAGCGGGGTGAGGGTCCTTTGCTCCCACGCGGAGAAGCCGAGGTGGTTCCCTCATTGTTCCTCAATGGTCTTCCAACCTGAGGTGACTCGTTGCTCGACGTGGGTGTTGACCTCTTGTTCGATTCCAGAGAGCGATTTGTGTGAGCGGGTGTGTGCCCCAAAGGGATGAGGAGTACCCGCTCTGGGTGCTGCCCCCTTTGTAAGGCCGTGGTCCACCACGACCATGAGGCTGTCATATCCATTGCTTTCTGGCAGATCTGTGATGAAATCAACGGAAAGGTTTTTGAATGGTTTGGTAGTTTTTGGGCCCAAAATTGGTTGGATGGGTATTTTGATCGGATTGGTAATCACCTTGCTTTGTTGGCATGTGGCACATCCTGTGATGTAGTCTTTGATTATTTGTGTCATACCTGGCCAGTAGTAATATCTGGTTACTAATTGGGTTGTCTTCAGTTGTCCAGGATGTCCGGCTGTTACTGAATCGTGTTGTTGTCGAATACATGTTTTTCTCTCGGGTCTGATGGGAATATAACGGCGGTTCTTGTAGAACACATCATCATTTTTGATGGTCCAATCTTTGGGATCTGAGTGCATTGGTAATTTGTTCCCTTCGTGTAAACTGTTTTGTATGTTGGTGAAAAATGGATCTGTGGTTGCTACTGCGGCGAAGACGGTTTTTGGGAGTAGCGGCGTGTCTTGTTCTTCTTCTTCTGTGTACAGGTCTGGTCTTCTGGATAGATTGTCCGGGATTGTCATTTGTGTTCCTGGTATGTGTTTCAGGGTATAATTGTACTAGGAGAGTAGAAGTTGCCAGCGTCTTTGTCGTGGTGTCAATTGTCTGGCTTCTTGCCAGTATGTGAGATTTTTGTGGTCGGTTAGTATCTCCGTTGTGTGGGCACTGCCTAGGATATAATGTTTCCATTCTTCTAATCCTCTGATGACAGCAAGTAGTTCCTTGTCGTATATTTGGTAGTTCTTTTCAGCTGGGGACAACATTTTGGAGAAGAAAGCACATGGATGCCACACTCCATTGTCATCTGGCTGGTTTAGTACCGCCCCAGTTGCGTGTTTGGATGCGTCTGTCGCGATTTGGGACAGTTTGTTCGGATCGGATATCTGAGTGACCGGTGATCTGCTAAAGCGGTATTTTAACAGCGCAAATGCGTCTTCTTCGGTTTTTGTCCAGTTGCAAGTTCTTCCTTTTTCCAGTAAGGCATTGAGGGGTTTAGCGAGTTCCGAGTAGTGGCCAATGAATTTGCGGTAGAAGTTGCCAAATCCGAGGAACTTTCGCACTTCATGGATGTTGGTCGGCGTAGGCCAATTTTGGATTCCAGCTAGTTTTACTGGGTCCATTTGCACCTGGTTGTGACGGATGATCATGCCGAGATATTTGATTTCGGCTACATCAAACGTGCATTTTTCTAGTTTCAGGTATAGGTCGTTTTCACTTAGGTGTTGCAATACTCTTTTTGTCCGCAGGCAGTGTTCTTCTGGTTCTTTGCTAAATATGAGCATATCGTCCATGTATATGATAAACCATCCTTCGTCTATCATGTCTGCGAAGAGGTCATTCATCATGCATTGGAAGGTGGCCCGGGAGTTGCACATGCCGAAGAACATCACTGTGGGTTTGAAGAGTCCTTTTCGGGTTTTTCCACGGAGTCGGTCTATGGGGTCGGGGATCATGGGTAGTGGGTAGGGATCTCAGATTGTTTGTTCATTAAGTTGTCGATAGTCTTGGCATGGTCACAAAGATCCGTCCTTTTTGTCTATGTAAAAGAAGGGGGAAGCCATCGGAGATTTGCTTGGTCTAATATATCCTTTTCAAAGGTTGTCGTCAAGGAATTCTTCTAGTGCAGTGTTTTCTTTTGGCAATAAAGGATAGATTTTACAATCTTTTGGTTTAAACTCCGGTTTTAGGTTTATGGCGTGATCGTAGATCCTTCTTTTGGGAAGTCTTTCCAAAGCCGTTTTGTCAAAGACCTGTGCAAACTCTTTGTAGGTTTCGGGTAGTTCCGTTATCTTTTTTCCAATGTTATTCTGGATAGCTAATTCCATTGCCATGTTGGTTTTTGCAAAGATCCATGTTTCGTGTACGTAGTTGATCAATAGTTCTGGTCAATCGATTGTGATGGTGTGAATCATGGATCGGTCGGAGAGTGATTGGATGGTGCGGATGGCGTGGGTATCCATGCTTTTTGATGTCCAGTCTATTGTGGGGTTTACCTTGTGGAGCCACGGGTATCCTAGGAGAATGTCTTCTCCTCCTAATCTGGTGATGAGGAATTTTCACATGGCATTCTTTCCTCCTGCTTCAATTCATTGATATGTGTAATGGGTGATTTTTCCTCCGTTGTTTATGGTTCCATCTATGTTTTTGCACGTGATGGGTGTTTCCAGTTTGTTGAGTGGTAGGCGATGTTTGATTGCGAATTTTGCGCCCATGAAGTCGTCTGTCACTCCCGAGTCTATTAACGCTTTTGTTCCAATGGTTTTTTTGTCGTAACATGGTATCAATTTATAAAGAGTTTGAATTGATTGCGGCTATTGTTACAACGGCTATTTTGGACGGTACCAACATTGGTGTGGGTCGTCCTTTCAAAAACCCTCTTTTTCCAATTTGTCAATGGTGCTAGCTTGATCTGCTTCGTTGAGTTCTTTCCACATTTCGAGGATGTGAGAAATTCCTCTTCCGTCTTCTACCACCGTTTCGGCTTCATCCTTTTCAACTTCTGCCATTCTGATCCTTCGATCTGGTTGTTTTCCTTTCTTCTTTTCCGGACAGAACTGTGAGATGTGTCCCTGTTCTTTGCATATAAAGCATCACCCTTCTCTTTTGAGCGAGTCTTCTTCATCTTTGGATAAACATTTTGTCGAGGATGATTGGCTTCTTCCTCCTTTCTCCCCTTTCTTCTTTTCTCCTTTCCTTCCCCACTTTCCTTTGCTGATGCTGTTTGAGTTTGTCCAGTTGGCGTCTAGGCCAGCAACTGTGCTCATCCATCCTGCAATATTTTTGGGTTGTGTAGAGGAGTTGAGTACATTTTGAAGAAGGTATGGGCGTATGGAGCTTTTGTATACCATGATTAGTCCTTCGTCGTTTAAGCTGCTCTTTCCTGCGTCTACCATGAAACAGGAGTTGAACTTTACTGCCGTTTCTCCTGTTTCCATTTTCATCGTCATAAGGGCCGCACTGGCTGCTCCCTTTACGTCCGCGGTAATGAATGTTCCGTTGAAGTCGGTTTTGAAGTCCGCCCATTTTGGGTATTTGCCCGATCCGGTGTATTCCTTTAGTTTGGTCTCTTTCCACGCTAGGGCGGCTCCCTCCTTCATGTAGGAGAGGGCTTTGAAGACCTTCTTTTTGTCGGAGTCGTAAATGGCGTTGTTTATGTCAAAGTATGCTTTGGCTGACAACATCCAGCCATTGGCTCGGTCGGGCATTCCATCAAAATCGTCTATTTGTCCAAACTTGGTGGGTTTGGATGCTGTGGTGTTGGACATGATGCTAGTTGGTGGAATGGGAGATGGGTTGGGTGCAGGGGGAAGTATCTGAGGTGTGGGATGTGGTACTGGTTGGCCTTCTGCGGCGAATTCTTCAAAGTCTTGTTTGTTGTAGATATCTTCTTCCGAGACCAGGGGATCGTGTTGGGTTCTGGGTATTAGCTGCGGGTGACTTCTCGCGTAATACTGCAACCAACGTGTTCTAGCTTTGATGAATGTGTCTGCTTGTTCTCTGGTATGAAGTCTGGTGATGTCAGGTTGGGGAAAGGGGGGTGATGCTGCTATTCTTTCTTGTCTTGACGATACTGGGGGTGTGGCCGTCTGAGTAGGTTCTGCTCTGTAGTGGGTCTTCTTCCTTGCGACATTTTGTCGTCTTTTTCGTCCCTTCGCTAGAAAGCGTGGGAATGACGGTGTGGAATACAATTGTTTTGTTACGCTTGGAATGTGCAAGCCTGGTAACACTGGGTTTCTGATGGATAGATGGTTTCTGATAAGCTCATCGTAGACGAGTTTGAGACATATTCTGATGATGAGGGTTTCAGCTGATGAATACCAAGTTACACTGTTGAAGCGTACAATTGTATTGGAGATAGTAACTACAATACAGGCCTATATATATAGTGTCTACTTTAGGGTAGGCATTTGTGTTGAACAAACAAGGACGGGTGGTACCGTAACAGGCAGTGTGTGTGGGAAAGTATAGGTAAGTAGCAGAGCGTAGCTACTTGTGAAGAGAAATAAAGTCTATGGTGAATATAGTTCGTAACAGCTTCACTAGTTTTTCACGCTCCACTGCGGTTGAGGAATCTCTCTAGTCCTCCACAAAAATCATATCATACTTTTGTCTCGTGGACACTAATCAGAGTAGTCAAAATTGGTCCTCCCGAGCGTCGACTTGTGGAAACAGTGGCAAACTGTGCAATAATGATGAATGGTAAATCCTCCAAGCTGGGACAGCTTTCAAGCAGCAGGAAGGTCACAAACAGCATTCACAATAGTGCTACAAGTTATTTTACCATCTGGTCGTATATTGTCTATAAGGGTATGGATGAAGTGATTGAGCTGGTCCAGTGAGGGTTCATTGGGTCCCGCAATGGTTGCAGCGAGATACATGTACTCAGGCTTGTAGCGTATATTAGCCGGAAGCTTGAGACATGCACAGGATATTATTCCACACAATGTAGAAGCACCAGTAGAGTCTGTTGTAGCCGCTTTTATTGGGGTTGTGAAAGCCTATATCAGTAGAATCTCTCTGCTGACTGATCTACCTGTGGGTGTGAGTATCCAGTGCAGGTGGTATGTGTAAGTATATATTGTACACTCTTATATTTGATTGTAGCACTGATGAATGGTTATGCTAAAAATGACCAAGGTGTAGGGGATGGAGTGGAGATAGCTGTTACAATACAAAATTTTTGGACCTTTGACTTTCATTCTCCGCTTTAACCTTCTTTTTCAGTTTTCACACTATTGTGCCATTCGGCACTTTCCTTTGGTTCAAACTCCACCTTCTAGAGCTGTGTCTCTCACACAGTGGAGCTGGTCACACAGGCTGTGCCCTATGACATCATCAGCCACTGCCTTATTAACTGTATAGTACAACATGTACAAACAACCTGTAGTAGTATAAATACCCCAATAGATCCAGGAGACTCCTCAGTGAGTCCTCCTGTTGTTTACCCACAACAAACTCAGTCCTACTTAAGGGAGAATATCCTCTCCTTGTTACGAACTGTGACTTATATGAACTTTATTTCTTCTTTGAGTAGCTACCTACCACTACTCGTTACTATTTCCCACACTTGTTACTCGTTATAGTTTTTCACCCGTTGTCGTTTGTTCAACACAAACACCTACCCTAAAGTAGGACAGTATATAGCCACTTGTATTGTAGTTAACATCTCCAACACAATTGCACGCTTCAACAGTGCAACTTGGTATTCATATTGAAACCCTTCAGCTACTTCAGAATACATCTCAAACCCGTTGTCCATGGGCTTATCAGAAACCACTTCCATATCCAGAAACCCTTTTGTTACCAAGCTTGTACATCACAAGCGTAACACTCCTCCACTCACCACTCTTTGCTTAGCCTTATTGTGCGCCAGAGTATACAAACTTTGGCTGTTACATTAGCTGTCATGCAAAAGGCAGTGGAAATGTTGTCCGAGGATGTCTACCTGTTTAAAGGTGACATGTATAGCTATGACTATCAGCAGCTCAACTTGCAAGACATGACTTTGCCACCCTCTCAGTTATGTGACTTTGAAACCACAGGGATTATACAGTATGTCCTTGGGAGAGAGTGTGTGTAACAACCAAGATTTTGTTACTCTGGCACACAACTCAGACAAGCTATAGAGAGGATGATGAGGGAGTGGTTACCCTTTAGGCTTCAACAAGTTAGTTGTGAGGATACAACAGGAGGACTCGCTGAGGAGTCTCCTTGATCTATTGGGGTATATATACTACTACAGGTTTGTTTGTACATATGTACTATACAGTTGATGAAGGTAGTGGCTGATGATGTCCGAGGGCGCAGCCCGTGTGACCAGCTCCACTGCATGAGAGACCTGTATCTAAAATAGAAAGAAAGGCAGTGCAGCACGAGAAAGTGGAGTTTGAACAAAATGGAAAGTGCCACATGGCACAATGTGAGAAAACTACAGTAAAAGGTTAAAGAGGAGAATGAAAATTAACGGTCCAAAAATGTGTTATCGTAACACTACCCCCCTCTAGGGCTTGACTTCCAGGCAAGACCAGATACCGGAGGTGGTAGTTAGATTTTTGGGTATAGGTTGAAAAAGGGAATTAAAAAGTTTAGAATCCATGCCTCTAAGCTTCCTAGGAGCCGAGGGATTCTTAGAATAAAATTTGCAAACAGTGTCGCGAGAATTGTCCAGATGGGCTTCTGGTTCCCATGTTCTGTCCTCATCTCCATAGCCCTTCCATAGGACCAGGAATTCTAATTTTCCATGCTTCAAGCGTGCATCCACCACCCGTTCAACTTTGAACTCTTCTTCACCTTCCTGGGTGACTACAACCGGTCCGGGCCAGTCTACGCACTGTCCCGGCAGCGGCCCTTTATAGGGTTTTACACAGCTAATATTGACCGTGGGTACTACCTCATTCCTTCTGGGAGTTCCAGCTCTACTGCATTGGGTTTGACTTCCTTAATCCAGTAAGGCCCAATCCACTTTTCGGTCAGTTTTCTAGACTGCCAATCTTTCAATTTTAAGTGGTCGGTATCTAACCAGACCAGGTTGCCTACCTTGTAGTCAGGGGCCTTTGAGTGTCTATGCTCTACCATGTGTTTCATCTGCTCTGCAGTTTTAAATAGCGCTTTGCGCGTTTCGTCTAAGACAGATTTCATGTCTTTGGCCAAGTTCCCAGCAGCCTCGTAGCCAACGACTGTTTGATATTATAAGAGAACTGGGCTATCTTTAGCCACTTGGCCCAATCTGTCTGTCTGTCGTTAATAAATATACGGAGTTATTGCTTCAATTCCTGATTGAGCCTCTCCGTTTGTCCATCAGTCTGCGGATGGAACACCATTGACAATTTAGGTTTGATGCCCAGCATCCGGCATAACTCTTTTGTAAATTTGCTAGCAAATTGCGGTCCCCTATTGAAGATAACCGTTTCCGGCAATCCATGGATAGACCATACAAAATTGTTAAATAGATCTGCCGTGCCAGCGGCGGTAATGGTTTTGTTGGTGGGGATGAACACCACTTCTTTGGAGAAGTGATCTACTACCATCATTACTGAATCATACCCGTTTGATTCGGGTAGATCTGTTGTGAAATCAACCAATATATCCTGCCAAGGGCCAGCTGGTATCAGATTTGGCATAAGTTTACCGGCCGGTGGTTGATGCGAATTCTTTGCCATGGCACATCTCAGACAGGATTTTACATACTCCTGTACGTCTTTGACCATGCCAGGCCACATGTAGTTTCTGGAGATCAACTCCATTGTTCGTTGCCACCCAGGGTGCCCAGCCACTGGAGTGTTGTGATGTCTATCTATTGCCTTGATCCTTGCGGACTCAGGCACATAGATTTTGTCCTTAAAATGGAAGAGCCCGTCTTCCCATAAATAGTTCTTATTTCCATCAAGGCGCACCTTCTCTTCTGAGGAGATGTCTTTCTTGAAGACTTCCAGAAGATCAGAATCCTGCCCAATTCTAACATTGGCAACCCTTGATTGGTCTATCAGGGTGACACCTTTGTTGTCATCTTCTATGCCGTTGGCATGATTCTCTCTTCTGGATAAAGTGTCCACTTTCCCCATTGAAGTTCCAGGCTTATGAATTAATTTATAATTAAACCTAGACAAGTACACCGCATAGCGAGCCTGTCTCTGGTTCAGGTCTTGGGCCATCATAAAGTACTCCAGATTCTTATGATTGGTCCAAATTTCAAATTGGTGCCTAGCACCTTCTAAGTAGTGCCACCAGTGCTCTAGAGCTCTAATGATGGCCAGCATCTCTTTATTGTAAATTTGATAGTTGGGCTCTGTGAGCAACAAACTATGTGATAAATAGGCACAAGGCCTCCAAAGATCATCAGGACATTTAATTGATAGAACAGCCCCAGTAGCAAAATCAGAAGAGTCGGTTTCTAGCCGGAACTCTTTGTCTAATTCTGGAAATGCTAATATGGGCTGTTGTAAATGCCTGTTTAAGCTTATCAAAAGCTTCCTGTTCCTTGGCGCCCCAATGCCAAACAATGTCCTTTTTTGTGAGATCATTCAACTGTCTCGTTATTTTTGCGAAGTTTTCAATAAATCTTTGGTAGAAATTGCCCAAGCCGAGGAAGGCCCTAACTCCTTTGACGCGAGTAGGTTCGGGCCAATCCAATATAGCTTGAACTTTTTCAGGATCTATCCTGATTCCGTTCTGGCCAATTATTATACCAAGGGAGTCTACTTCCTTCACTTTAAAATTACATCTTTCGGGTTTGACGAATAGGTCCCATTCCTGTAAGCGTTGAAGGACTTCTTGCACGATCCTGTCATGCTCAGCCTCATTGTCCGACTTCGTAAATATTAATAAATTGTCAATGTAAATGACAACACAATTCTCCATATCTGCAAAGATCTCGTTCATCATGCTCTGGAAGGTTGCCAGTGAATTGGTCAACCCAAAGAACATAACGAGGGGCTCAAAGGATCCTCGGTGGCACGTGAACGCAGCCTTCCAAGCATCTTTTTCTCTGATTCATACATTATTGTACCCCCATCGGAGATCCATCTTTGTTAAGATCTTGGCACTAGCCAATTTGTCTATTAGCTGACTAATCAAAGGCAGCGGATACACATTTTTAACCGTGTACTCATTCAAGTAACAATAGTCCATAATCATACGCTTCTTACCATCCTTTTTAGGAATGAAGAACACTGGGGATGTCATAGGGCTCTTGGAAGGTCTGATGTAACCCTTCCTAAGCTGTTTGTCTATGAAACTAGAAACCTCATCTCTTTCTGGAGCAAAAAG